ATTTTTGTCCATCTCACATTGAATTTTGGGTCGCAAACTGCGGCCATGATTGTGGCGTAACGTTGCAACGTTACTGTCAAACAATTATTAATATTCTTTATTAAAATAATTTAAATAATTTAATGATAATTTTTTTTAATAAAAACAAAAAAAATTTTTTTTTGATAAAGGTAATGATTAATAAATTAATATCATTCGATATTAGTAACTGAGAATTTAATTTTCAGATCTAGTGAACAACCTACCAACCTCAATAAGACGCACGACTATCGGACCGCTTTGGTGGAATTCAATAAAAATAAAAATTAATGTGTCAAAATAAAAAGTAATAAGTTTAGAAATAATTTGACAATGCTTTTTGATTTTTTAGTGTTTAATTTTTATTTTTTTTTATTTTAAAAAAATATGAAATATTAATTAAAATAAATATTAGATATACTTTATATATTTTTATGATATTAAATGATAAAAAAAACTCATAACTGTAGTTATAAGTCAATATAATTAAACTAAGTCTAAGTAACGTATGTTTAGTTTGATAATATTGGTCTATAACTACAATTGTAGATATTTTAATATTTTAAAAAACTATCAAATATATTTATTATATTTTATATTTACTTTAATTAATATTTTACAAATTTAAAAATAATAAAAATATAAAAATTAAAATACCAAAAAATATTCTCAAACAAAAACATAGAATGTCAATCAAATGTATTAAGAAAAAGAATAAAATTATTTTGTATTGTATAATTTAAAATAGAAAATATATTTTTTAAAATGTGCTAACAACTCTAGTACTTTATTGCTGGGTTTTTTTTTTATTATTATTAATAAAAGTAAGAGGTCATTAGTGCATTCCTAACCTCTAATGACATGGCCTAAACAAAGGAAAGACATAGGTTTTTTTTCCATTTTTTCCAAAACATAAAAGTTCAATTTGACCTCTTTTTTCTCTTTTCATTATGCCTGTTCGAAGAAAAGAACTGTTTATTTTTTAGTATCATTTATGCTATTCTCTTGTTTCACCAAAAGAAAAAGAAGGAAAAAAACTTTGCTTTAGAAGGCAATGTTATGACCATTGAAGAAGTTATTGGGCCACACCACATAATATGTGTGTTTAATTTATTTAATTTTATTAATTTATAATTATTAAAATATTTAAAAATATTATTTTATAAATTAATTTTAAATTATTATATAATAAATAACATTTATTTTTCTTATTATTAATTATTTTTAATAATTAAATTAAATACAATTATATTATTTTTTGTGTAATCCTAATAATTCCCAACATGGCCATAACGACGCCCTCTTTAGAAACCCACGAGAACTTGGATATGGGTTTTCTTATATAATAAATAACATTTATTTTTCTTATTTTTAATTATTTTTAATAATTAAATTAAATACAATTATATTATTTTGTGTAATCCTAATAATTCCCAACATGGCCATAACCACGCCCTCTTTAGAAACCCACGAGAACTTGGATATGGGTTTTCTACTTTGTGACTGTGTTAGTTTGTGTGACATTAAAGATCCTCGGCCCATTCTTAACAAAGGCCTTAAATAATGGACACATAACACTTCAACGGCCCAATCTGGAAAGATAATTGGATCAGGCTTCGCCCATCGATATATCTCCGAAATAGGATTAAGAGATTGCTTGTCATTTATTAGTGTGTCTAGTTAGGTTTATCGATATATAGATAATGCCATTCTAAAACTCTTTTAGTATGATTGCAATTTTTAGTTTTTAATTTTGATTTTTATAAGTTTTGTAATTATTAAAATTTAAAATTTATTTAAAATATGTTTTAAATTATGAATTTGTTTAATAATATAAAAGCATTTTTGTTGTTATTGTTCTAATAATTATAAAAAAAAAGTGTTTTACAAGGCATATTATATATTAAAAATACAGTTCACCTCATGAATCTATTAAAATATCGTTAATAAAATATTTTTTATGTTATTTCATTAAGATTATTTTAATAAATTTATAAAATAAATTACACTTTTAATATATAGTTTGAACTATAAAATATAAATCTCTAAGCATAATAATATGTTATAAAAATACAAAAAAAAAAAGAGTTTTTGTTTAGAG